AAGTACAAAACACTATTATAGAGAATAATGCACAATTGTGGCAGTTTGAAACTAATAAATGTAGGGTTATGTGGCTTAAATAAATTATCCAAATGGAATATTTAGGTGCACATATCAGCAAGGAAAATTGCCTGTGATACATCACAAGGTGGGAAAACCGGCTTTCCTTTGTGAGAAGGTAAGTGTGCTTTGCCATTTAGAGTGAAGAGGTTAAGAATGATGCGTTTCTAATGCACTATGCACACATGAGCACATCTGATATGTATGATGGGAGGGGCGGGCAGAGATTATCATTTTAGTTTTATACAACCAACTTGTATTTTTGGAAAATTCTTGAAACAATTTAGTTTAGCTGTTTTTATTGGAAAGGCAAATTTACAGAAAGAAGGAGAGACAACGATCTTCCATCTGCTGCTTCACTCCCCAACTGGCCACAATGGCCAGAACTGAGCCGATCTAAAGTCAGGAGCCAGGAGCTTCTTTCAGGTCTCCCACGTGGGTGCAGTGTCCCAAGGCTTTGGGCCGTCCTCGACTGCTCTCCCAGGCCACAAGCAGGGAGCTGGATGGGAAGTGGAGCATCTGGGACACAAACTGGTGCCAGTATGGAATCCTACTGCTCACAAGTAGAGGTTTAGCCAATCGAGCCCATCGCACTGGGCTCTGAAATGCTTAAGATTTAAAATTAATTTTCAATTTGTTTAGAAGACAGAAAGAGAGAGGGTGTGTGTGAATCACCTGCTGCTCACTCCCTCGATGCTCATAACGGGCTGTGGGTGACCCAGGCACCCAGAGAGCAGCCCAGGTCTCCCTCGGGTCATCACCGAGTGCTCCCTAAGGTGCGTCACCCTTCCCGGCAACTAGCATTTGCTACTCCTTCTGAAGACTCTCCTCCCGGTGTCCTAAATCCGAATCATCCCTTGCAACAATCTTAGCTCCTTAGATTCGGGGACGCTCCCTGTAAGAGCACTCACACCCTCTTCCCCTCTGTTTCGTTTGCTCCGAAGGACTGTGGCCGAGGGGTCTCTAGGATCCCTCCCAGGTGCAATGTCCTAATCTCCTTTGCCACAGTTAAAAGGCTGAGCAAGCCTTGACGCCCTCAAGGGAGGCTCACTAGGGAGTTGGGGCATTGCTGCGGGGCTGGGCAGGAAGGGCTTGCTGTTTTGGGATGTCCGCTCGCGCTGAGCCAGGCGGCGCGGCTCTTGCTGCAGGGAGCAGGGTAACCTCAAGGAGGCAGCAGGGATGCGCGGTGCCAGCCAACAGGTGCAGCGCAGGCCGGGCGCAGGTGCAGAACCGCCTCAGGGCGACAGGAAGCGCTGCCGAGTCGCGGTGCGCTTCGAGGTGGCCGCACCGCCTTGGTGGCCTGGGCAATGTACCTGGACAGGTAGGGGCGGGATGGGGCGGGGTTTGTGGGGCGGAGCCTAGGCCCTTCCTCACAAGAGCCAGTGGCAGCTGTGCTGGGATGCTCTCGCTGCCAAGGAGCAGAAGAGGAGCGCTGCCCGATTGTGCACCTGCGAGTCCTCAACTTTCAGAACCGAGAAGTGAGTCCGTCTGGTCGGGTCAGATCTGCTCCAGTCGCTGCTGGAGTGGCCGCGGGGCGCTATGACTTCGCCGGAGGTCCAAGCAGTGGCTACTGTTTGTGGTCGGGATGCTGAGGCAGCTGCTCGGGGCTATAGGGAGGGTCCAAGTCTTTGGCCTCCATCCTGTGCTGGCCGGGACGGGCACGGAGTTGGGTGAGAGTCTTCTCATTTCCACTGAGAAAAGAGGCGCCAGAGTCAGAGGCCGCACCTTGCCTCTCCTCTCTGTGCCCAGCGTGCCTGCTCAGCCCTCTCCGCCTCTGGGCACCTGCCCGTTCTCCCTCCGGAATGCTGCCGGCCAGCCTGTGGGTACAGAAGAAAACAAACACTTGACGCGGGCGGGCTGCTCAGCCTTTCTTGGGCGGCTTTGACCAGACTTCCCAGGGGCGGACGCAACGGGGGCGGGGGGGAGTCCCAGGACTGGGGGTAGGGGCAGAGGGTGCGTGTGGTCGGGAAGGCCTCTAGACCGACTCCCAGCTCCACGCTCCGCCGAGATTCCGTGCCCCAGCGTGGAGCCAATATCCCACGAGTTCCTTGTCTGTATTTGGGGAATAGACAAGGTCAAGGGTAGGTGAGGGCTGTGCAAACAAGACCCTGTGATTGTTCCTGAGTGGCTTGAACAAATGATCCAACCTTTGAGGAGCTCAGTTTCCTCTTCTGTGAAATGGGACTATTAATAGTATCTGATTGAAACGTTTAATGATTCCATTAAGTCACCTGTCAGCAGGTTTTAGGGGGATGCGCAGATGCGGAGCCTGGGGTCTGTGTGGGATAGTTGCTATGACTGACACCGCTGTGGTTGTCATGGCACTGCTTCTGGTTTAAAGCATGGGGTTCTAGCCCAGCTCAGCTACTTCCTAACATGACCTTGGGCCAGGTGCTTAACCTGTCAGTGTCTCCGATTCATTTGTACCGTGAGGAAAATGGTGATGCCGGCCCCAGAGTGGAAGTGGCCCCCGGTAAAGTACGCAGGAGGAGTTTGTGCCCAGTGACAGGCACAACCGCTTGTGCAAAGGCTAAGTCTGGCAGCCCCCTGACATCCAGGGGGTGGCCACAACCTCTTCGCTTTGGACAGTGCTCAGTGCTTACCTGTTGGGTGAAGATCAAGATCCCTTCTTGCACTTGCTCTGATCTTCATTGCTGGTGCAGGGGATTGGGGTCCAGTGAAGAGTACAGACTGTCCTGGGCAAGGGCAGAGAGGGCAGAGAGCTGCTAGGATCACAGTACCTGTTGATGTTTCCCAGAGCAGGACACCAGGAAACCATTCCTGGGCAGCAGTTTTTATTGAATGGGGATTTGAACCTGGACTTGAGTTTTATAAGCAAACTCTTGCAAACTTTTGTTTGTTTGTTTGGGACTGTTCTGAGAGATGGCATGGCCAGGCCATATTTAAAAGCAAGATTTTGCAGAGGGCCAGAGACACTGTTCTTCATTCCAGCCAAACCCTGTAAGTTGGGGGAGCGCTGAAAACAGCTTGATCACTCAGGCTGTGTTCCTCACCCCCACCCTCCCGCACACACTCTGTGGCTCGCTGTCATAAACCCAAGCCCACCGCATCAGGAACTTGAACGGCTTCCTGCTTTGTCCAGCTGTCAACCTTGGGCTATTGCTCACAGGCCTAGGATAGAGAAAGAGTTAGGGGGCATTGGCTAAAGGAACCTGATGGGGGCACCCCAGAGTCTTTATACCAGACACGGCCCTCTGCAGGGATGGAGGCCCCTCCCTCCCAAACCTAACTGGAGATTAGACTGTGTTCTGCTTTGCCTCTGTCATAGTGGAAGGCATAAAGGACACAATATGCCTCTCCCTCCTCGCCCCCCATACACACGCCTTGGGGAGAACGCCACAGTCTCCAGCAGAGTCTAGACACTGAGTAGTTCAGGCTTCCTTTGCTTTCCTGCTGTATTTAGTGCCAGGTCCTGTTAGTGAATGGCCTGCTTCGGTAGGTGTGGGGTGAGTGGCAGTTCCCCGGGGACACTGTCAGGCCCCTTGCAAGAGCAAACGCTGTGCTTGTTAAGGCTGCACAGTTCCAATCCAGCTGTGTGATTGTGCATAGCTGGTCTACCTCTCTGAGCTCATTCTCTTCTTGAAAGATGAAGAGTGCACCTGTCTTGCAGAACTGTTGAAACACAAAGCAACGCACGTACAGCTAAGACATGCATTTATGGAGAATTATATGCTTACAAGACTAACAATGCAGGAGACGAGTCTGCATGTAGAGTGTGATGGTTCATTTCTAGAAAGAATATTCTTTGTGAAGCGTCTGTGATTGAAATACACATGGATGAATGTGGCTTTCTGCTTTTCAATTTTCTCCTTGAATGTTGTAACCAAAGTGCATTCTTCAAAGCGAATATCGTAGAATCCAGGAAGTAGGATACAGTGCCTCGTTGCAGGCTGTCGTTCCTGCAATGCTTAAAGGGCTGGACTCTAAGAAGAAGAAATGAAACAGACATCATTCCACCTGCAAGAATGCAGCAGGAGGGAAAGAGAGCTCAGGAAAACCTAACCAGGAACTTGACTGAAAGGGAAGCTGGTAGGGCCCAGCGCGATGGCTCAGTGGTTAAGGTCCTCGCCTTGCACACCCGGGATCCCATATGGGTGCTGGTTCTAATCCCACCGGCCCAGCTTCCCTTCCAGCTCCCCGCTTGTGGCCTGGGAAAGCAGTGGAGGACGGCCCAAAGCCTTGGGACCCTGCACCCGCGTGGGAGACCCGGAAGAGGCTCCTGGCTTCGGATCCGCATAGCATCAGCCGTTGCGCTCACTTGGGGAGTGAATCATCGGACGGAAGATCTTCCTCTCTGTCTCTCCTCTGTATATCCGCCTTTCCAATAAAAATAAAATAAATCTTTTTTAAAAAAAAAGAAAGGGAAGCTGGGAAATTCTCAGCAGATTTCATCTGTCTGGGGAAGCTTGCTGTGCATGTGGTGTGTCACACTTGCTGCTAGGCACCAGGGGGGCATGATGAGATAGGAACGCTGCCCTGGGGGCGGAAGGGAGGGGGGGGCTGGCTCCTGGGAGCGATAAGGCACGGGGTTGCAATACCCCTGCCTGATAAGGAGGTGCTGATTGGGCTTGCTCTGAGGGCTGCTGCCCTAGGAACCCAGGAGAAAGGTCCCCCAGCCTGTCCAGCCAGTACGTGCAGGTTAAGCTCATCCAGCTCCTACAGCCCGAGGCCCCGGGGCCCTTAGAGTAGGAGGAAGCCTCTCTGGCAATGGTGGGTGGACAAAAGCAAAGATCCTGGACAAGGGGGCCCAACCAGAATGCCCACAGAGAAGGAGACAGCCTCTGAATGCTGGAGCCTGGGTCAGGAGTCACAGGACTCCCCGACTTCCCAATACACACCAGCAAGCCGGGGTCCAGAAGCTCACCTCCCTGTCCTCTGTCTCCCTCCAGCACACCTACCCTGCAAGTTCCATCCTCGCCATGGCTCCCGGAGAAAAGATCAAAGCGAAAATCAAGAAGAATCTGCCCGTGAGGGGCCCCCAAGCACCCACCATCAAGGAGCTGATGCAGTGGTACTGCCTCAACACCAACACCCATGGCTGCCGCCGCATCGTGGTGTCCCGTGGCCGCCTCCGCCGCCTGCTCTGGATCGGCTTCACGCTCACCGCCGTGGCCCTCATCCTATGGCAGTGTGCCCTGCTCGTCTTCTCCTTCTACACCGTCTCTGTCTCCATCAAAGTGCATTTCCAAAAGCTGGATTTCCCCTCTGTCACCATCTGCAACATCAATCCCTACAAGTAAGAAACGGGAGCAGGGTTCTGGGAGCAAAGGTCCGGCCTCCTACAGGTGCAAAATTAACCTCTCTGAGGGTGACACTGGGCAGCCCAGGAGCTGACAAGGAAGAGAGAGAGGAGAAAGAGAGAGAGGAGAAAGATCTTCCATTGTTGATTTGCTTCCCAAATGCCTATCATAGCCAGAGTTGGGCCAGGTTGAAGCCAGGAACCAGGCTCTTCATCCAGGTCTTCCACGTGGATGGCAAGGATTCAGCTATTATCTGCTGCTTCCCAAGGTAGGCATAAACAGGAAGCTGAATTGGAAGCAGATCAGTAGCTGGGTCTTGAACCAGGAACCCTCACGTGGGATGTAGACGTTCCACCATGGTAGCTTAACCTGTTGTGCCACAATGCCCTCCCTGTTTTGTTTTATTTAACATTAGAATTAGTTGTTAACATTGGTCAACACCCCTCTCCGAGGCTCCAAATCTATACGATTTTCAGTTCATCGCTTACATTTAAGGATGGGCTAGTTCAGGGAAGGCAGGAAGGGATAGCTTCAAGGATTGGTTGATCTTGCAGGCTGGCCTGGCCAGCAATGCCCATCCCCCTCTCCTGCCACACCCCCTTGCATCCAGCTTAGCCAACTCCCTCCAGCTTTCCAAGCTCACACCCTCACTCTCCCCAGAATGTGAACTCCAACGCTGACTCAGAAGCAACACCCAGGTGACTTCTAGAAGTAGCTCAGCTGCCCCAAACCATTGTGTGGGTTAGCCCAGCCCGACTGAGATTCCTGGGATCCACACTGGAGCACCACTTGGTGTTGTCCTGGTGGCAGCCATGGGACCAGTTCTAAACAGATTTCTAGCATCCTTCCAGGGACTATGGAAGCATGATCTGTGCGGCAGGTCTGAATCTGGGAGAGTTTTCTGGCTCAGGGGTAGAGAGGGGACAAAAGAAGAACCAGTGGAGATATTTGCGGAGATTATCAAAGGGAACTAACCTGTTCAGAGTCATCTGTGAGCTGCGGGCAAAGCTGAAACTCAAAGTCAAGTCCAGAATTTATTCCTCCGGCAAGTCTGTGTCTTTTCCTGTCCCTTCACTGTATCTGTTACTCATTCCATAATTATTTATTCAGTATCTACAAATTGTCCTACGAGGTATGAAGATCTGTGACACAGAATTCAACAAACTAACCCCAGTGACGCTTACCTTGTCACGGAGGAGTTAAGCATGAAGAAAATCATCATATTATTCCACTTAGCAGTAATGGATATTTCCTTGGACACATGCATGCATGTGCTTGTAAAGGAAACTCATGGAAAGTTTTCAATGACCCTGTTTTGCAAATGAGGAAACAGAGATGGAGAAAGGCTATGCAACTTGTCCAAAGCCACACAACCAGCACCAGGATGAGGAGCTCAAACTCGAGTGTTTGGTCTCTGTATTTTATTCCTTCTGCTGTGTTGTGCTGTCTAGGCATACAGCAAAGAGGAGAGAGAGGGGAGAGCTGAAAGGAAGCTGGCACCATTTGAACTGTAAAAAATGAAAAGATGGTGTCACTATTCTTCAGTCACTCAGTGCCTGTCCCATCCTTCTATGTGCCTGGGGTTGTCATGGTAACAGCCATTCCCTCATTTCTCCCAGCAGTGATGCCCGGACAGTCAGGGAACAGGGATTGAATGTGTTGAATGGGGACTGAGCCTGCCTCCTGGGTCAACTCCGGTTAGCAGTTATTTACTTGTCCTCACTGTAACTGGTTGATGGGAGGCACCTGACAGTCACCACTCCAGAAATGCTGGTTAGGGCTAAGTCATCAACACACCCTGAGAGCAAGCAGGCAAGGGTGGCAGAGATGAAGGCCTAGGATGTCATATAAGGGTCACCCAGGAACCTGTCTCCACATTCCAGAGCCAGGGATCATTTCAACCGGGTCAAGGGCTGGAAGGCCTGATGGGCTTGATCAAGAGAGGTTAGGCAGGGGGCACAGTGGTCCCATCCCCACCCCCAGCTCACAGCAGCTGGACGAGAGGCAACATGGAGAAGTCCCTCCTTGACACTTCCTTCCCACTTTGACAGGTACAGTGCCGTGCGGCATCTTCTAGCTGATTTGGACAAAGAAACCAGAGAGGCCTTAAAGACCTTATATGGCTTTTCAGAAGTCAAATCTCGGAAACAGCGGGACACAGAGTCCTGGAGCCCATCCTGGGAGGGCATCCAGCCCAAGTTCATCAACCTGGTCCCACTGCTGCTCTTCGATCAAGATGAGAAGAACAAGGCCAGGGACTTCTTCACAGGGCGGAAGCGGAAAGTCAGTGGGGACATCATCCACAAGGCCTCCAATGTCATGCAGGTCCACGAGTCCAAGAAAGTGGTGGGGTTCCAACTGGTAAGATTCATTTCCTCCCAGGTTGGGGCACAGGATGAGCTAAGGAGAGTGGATCCAGGGACTCATTTCCTTGGCCATTTAGCCCCTATGGATAGATTGGAAGAAATATACCTGACTTGTGTGACTTTATCTGTAAGCGATGCAAGCCCACTCATACAACCTCAAGGGAGAGAAAATAACCTGGAAAGACTCCAGTATCTCATTGAGATATTACAAAGGGTCGAGATGAGTAAGATCCAAAGATCTAAGGGACAAGAAATGAAATCAATTCATTCTGAATAATGCTACAAGGTTAAAGAAGCTTCCACTAAGTTCTGCCTTTTTGTTACAGAGTAAGAGTCAAATTCCATCTTGGGACTATGTGGTTGGGCAAATATGGGTCACCTAATCACCTTTTTGGCTAATGCCACCCATAGGAGAGACCCAGATGGAGTTCTGGGCTCCTGGCAGGGTCTCTTAACTGTATCCAAAGAGGAAACTCCCTCCAGAGCAAAACTAGAGTGTAGACTCCAAAACGAAAAATCCTAAACAGCAGGGGCACCAGTACTCCCTAGAGCATTTGTCTTCATGAATGACCATAAGTCGATTTCTCATCTCCTCTTCTGGTCTCATTTGGGGGACGCTAGAGAAACAGCCACTCACCGAAAATGAATCCCATCACCTTCCTGGGCCAGCTTGGCCCCCCACTCTCCCTCTCCATGCCCCTGTCACTGTGGGAGGACAGGAGCTACTCTTTAATCTTAAGATTTATTTTATTTTTATTTGAAAGACAGATTTATAGCAAGGAGGGCAGAGAGGGAGGGAGAGAGAGAATCGTCCATCCGCTGGTTCACTCCCCAAATGGCCAACAACCAGAGCTGAGCTAATTCAAAACCAGAAGCCAGGAGCCTTTTCTGGGTCTCCCACATGGGTACAGGATCCCAAGACTTTGAGCCATCCTCTGCTGCTTTCCCAGGCCACAAACAGGGAGCTGGATGAGCTGGAGCAAAAATGGAGCAGCTGGGACATGTGCATCCATATAGGATGCCAATGCCTCATGGGGAGACTTATTCTACTACACACCATGGAACCAGCCCTAGAGCAACTTCTTGTAGCCATGTGAGAGTCTCATGGTTCTACTCACAGATTCTGGAAATGGACCCTGCTGGCTTCCAAGCTTTTCTTGGCCCTTTTATGGGATATCCACACAATTTCCCTCAATTCCAAGATGAAACCTTGGACATCTGGTCTCTCAGGAGCATGTCTAAGCCCCAGGCATTCAGACATCTGGAATATATACCACAGTGTTTCTGTGAAGCTCTCGTGACTGTTTCACAAGTGGCTCCTCCCAACTCTCGCACCTGGCTCTGGAAGGTTTGCACTCCAGGCAACATTTTGTCGTTGACATAGTGTGTTGCTCAAAATCTCACAGAGGAACAGAGCCAGAGACTGAACTAGAATCCATATGTCCTGTCTAATTTACATATAAGGAAATGAGGAGGAGTGAATGGGAATTAAGTATCATTCATCAACTGGACCCCAGATCCAGCTGCAGAAGATAGTTCAGCCTCTTGCCTGATGGGCCAGTGATAGGTGCGGGAGTGGGTTCAGTATGCTTTCTTATTTAGTGCCTTCTTGGTCTCTGAGGCTTAAGGAAAATCTAGCCCAACTCCTAGAGGTCAAAGGAAACCCATGCTCACCCCAGTTATCCCTCCCATTTCCCTTGGTATCTGGCCAGTAGTAATAGAATGGATGGCTTCACCCTTGTGTCTCCCCTCTTTCTCACAGTGTCCAAATGATTCCTCGGACTGTGCTACCTACACCTTCAGTTCAGGGATCAATGCCATTCAGGAGTGGTACAAGCTGCACTACATGAACATCATGGCACAGGTGCCTCTCGAGAAGAAAATCAACATGAGCTATTCTGCTGAGGAGCTGCTGGTCACCTGCTTCTTTGACGGGATATCCTGCGATGCCAGGTCAGGGAGGAAGATTGCTCTGCTAGTCCCCAAAGACAGCCATGTTAGGTTTGGGCATTGGGTCTCTGGCATACACCTCCAGCTCAACTATAGGTCTTGGGAGCAAAAAGGTGGTCCTCTTGCCGGCCCTGCTTTTGGGAAAACAACTTTTGCAGGAGCTAGGTTCTAGAGCCAGTGTGTGAGGTATCCCATGCTGTGGAGTTAGAATATCGTTAGACTCACTAAATTACTCATAGGAGCACAAAGCTATTTGATGAGGTGCGTATTATCTAGCATAGCACCTTGTATATCAAAAGCAGCTGATGATCTGTATAGAACGTGGTATGTTAGCAGTTGGTGAGGTGGCTAGTACTTGGATACCAATCATGAAGAGCCGCTGACCTGGTATGGCAAAAGAAAGGGAGGGGAGGGAGGAGGCAGCAAGAATCCTGTTGAGATACGTGAGCTTTCAAACCTTTCCTACTTTGCGATAACACTCAGATCCTAGGTGGTGACTGCGCAGGTGAATGGCATATTCTAAAGAGTTCCTTCTTATCTGAAGAGCTTGCTTCATTCTCTTTAAACACCAAGCATTCCTTACCTTGCTCCATGGGAGTAGGCTTACAGAAGTACACATGTGAAGACTGAATATTGGCAATCACGTCTCCCTGGAAGTTGGGCTCTAAAATCACAGATGACATGTGGTTCAAGGGCACCCATGGCAGGATTTTTTCTCTGGGGATTATTCCACTAGGACTGGGACCTTGAGTGGGAAGATACCAAGTGTGGGCTGACAGGTGAAAGAACAGAGGAATCTGAGGGCAGACACAAGAAACACTGAGTCAGGACAGATTTGGGGTGAGAGGAGAAAAGGGGAGAAGAAGAAATGGAATCTTCTTTTGGGTCAATGCATGCCAATCTGCCCCAGGGATGTGCTGGCCACATTATCAGAGAGGACAGGAGAATATGAGATATGTCCATCATCTATTGGCCCAGAGTTGGCTCCTGTAGAATTTCCTTCCAGGCTGTTTCTATGATATATGTGGAGAATTTTCAGCACAGCTCTGTCTAACCCATTTCCCTATGTCACAGGAACTTCACGCTTTTCCACCATCCTATGTATGGGAATTGCTACACATTTAACAACGGAGCAAACAAGACCATCCTCAGCACATCCATGGGAGGCAGTGAATATGGTAAGGAAACCTTCAGGGAGGGGCCGAGGTTCTCTGGCAGCAAGTGTGGTGGTGGCAGAATAAGAGGGTACTCAGGCCTTCCAGAAACACTGGGCTCCCCTGTGTGACCGGAGCCAGGTACACAGGGACATCATTTTCCCTTTCAGCACCTGTGTTGAATTCGTTGGATCCTCCAGTAGGAGCACCTGCTTGCCTTCTTTTTTATTGAATTATTTTAAAAAGAGAATCTTTCATCCACTGGTACACTCTCCAAATACACACAACAGCCAGGGTTTGGTCAAGCTGAAGCCAGGAGCCCAGAACCCACTCAATCTCTCACATGAGTGGCAGGGACCCAAGCTCTTGCACCATCACTGGCTGCTTCTCAGGGTGTGCATTAGCAGGAAGCTGGAATCAGAGGCAGATCTGGGACTTGCACTCCACTGTGGGATCAGCATCATTAAGTGGCAGCATAACCTCCTTTGCCACAATGCCTGCTTGCTGGGGTTGTTTGTGCTACAGAATCTCTCTGTCTTAGGTTGTACCTGGGGTGAGTAATGGTTTGGCAGGTGGCTTCTAAATGGTATTCATGGCCAATGTGCTGAATAGGAGATGAAGGAGGCAGACACACCTTTATCATAGTGAAGATGACAGATTCTGCCCTCACTGCATGACCTTGTGCAAGTGACTACATTTCAAGAGAGAGGCATCATCATTGCTCTGGTACAAGCTGATTGAGAGGACTTAATGAGGCAGCACACTTAGCATTGGGTCTGGGACACACTGCTAGCATGTGCTGGTCACCATAGCAAAATCCCACAGGCTGCGTGGCTTAAACAGGAGACTGGTGTGGCTCACGATCAAGGAGGCTGGGATGGGCATGACCAAGGTGCTGGCAGATCAGGTTTCTCATGTGGATTGCTCTTCCTGGATTGCTCCAAGTCCTCCCATGGCCCTTCTTCCGTGGCACGTGCACAAAGAATGCTATGTCTCTTGCTCTTCTTATAAGGATCCTATCAGATGAGCGCCCCACCCCATGACCTCATTTAATCTTAATGAAGGCCCTATCTCCAAATGCAGGTTGAGCATCCCTTACCCAAAGTGCCTAGGTCTGCCTAGGACCTGGTCTGTCTAGAACCAGAAGCATTTTTGTTTGAGGAGTGGGGTGTGGGGTGGGACAATGTTTACATACACATAATGTCCTGGAGATGGAACCCAGCCTAAATGCAGAATGCGTTTAAGCTTTACACATACTGTATGTGCACCACTGGAAGACAATCTTATACAGTGTCTTCATTGTACATTCATTTTGATGGCGACTCATCCCATAAGGTCAAGTGTGAAATTTTCCATCTGTCACATTATATTGGTGTTTAAAAATTTTTGGATTTTTGATTTGGGAGATTAGAAATGCTTAAACCGGTACTATAATGTTCAAGTCAGGGCTTCAATTTATAGGTTAAGAAGCAGGGTTGGGAGGAAGCACACAACTCAGTTCATATAATACACTAATCACTTCATAAATGCTGTCTGTGGCTGCTCTGTGGCTGTCATTTCCACTAACATCCCTGCTACTGCTCGACCACCCTTACTGCTGCTACCCGTACCAATTCCTGTAATACCAGGATCATTTCCAATATTATCATGCATTACTGCCATTCTCCCGTACCAACCTTGGCAGGAAAGAAGGGATTCTGGCAAGATCCTATGCACAGAAAACATGATTTGACATATGGGGGTGTTCCCACTGGCAAAGGCAGGGCTCTTTCATGGTTCAGAATCCACGCTTTGAATCCCAGTCTCTGTCACTGTACATTCTTCCCAAGTCAGCAACATAGGGCATCGCAGGGCATACTCAGTGGACAAAAGTAATGAGGGAATTGAGCATAGAGTTATAGAGTCCTAGCTCTGCTGTGTGTGACTGCTGACAAACCACTTCCCCTCTCTGGGCTCCAGTTCCCTTGTTGGTAAATGGAAGGAGTCAGAACAACTCTCATCCTTCAGTGCATGAGGAAACTGCTCATTCATTCCTTTTGCAGTCATGATTGAAAAACCACTGTATGCTGGACACTCTTATAGGGGTCAGGGACACTGCCTAAAGCAAGGAAGAGCTGCCCTTAAAGGGGGCACATAACAAATGGTCAGCTAAGTCCACAGTTGCTACATCTTGCAATGAGTGCAAGGCAGTGAAGGGGAGAAAAGAGTGGAGTGAGTGGAATGAGAAGATCCTCATTGGAGGGAATGGCTTTTGCACAGTGGTTAAGATGATGCTTGGGATGCCCTCTGTTTGGGATAACCATATCCTGTACTGGATTGCCTGAGTGTGAGTCCCAGCTCCACACCGATTCAAGCTTCCTACTGATGCACACCTTGGGAGGCAGCAAGTAATGGCTCAAGTACTTGGGTCTGAGCCACCAATGTGGGAGACCCAGATTGACTTCCTGGCTCCTGACTTCTGCTCTGTCCGGACCTGGGCTGTTGTGGGCCGTTTAGGAGAGTGAACAAGTGAACTGGAGACTTCTTTATCTCTCTCTAGTCCTCCCCGTCTCTCTCTGATTTTCAAATAAATTTAAAAGAAATAAAAGGGTTCTCACAAGAGCAAAGACCCCCCCAAGGAGATAAAGAACTTGGTGTAGTCTATACTTAGCAATAAGACCAATGTCCTTGGAGCTTACTAAATGAAAGAAAGGGAAGAGACAAGCAGGCAAAGGGAGATGAGGCCACATCATCGCAGCCTTGGTCAGCATAGTTAGGAAAATCACCAGGCTGTCACATGTTCATCAGTTTCACAAGGCGTTCCCATATAACCAACAAGATGCCACTAAAAGGAGCGAATGGGTCGGATTTCCAATCCTCAAGGCCCCTTCTGGTTTCTGGATAAAGAATAGACTTCAAGCAACAGGAGCTGGAGCAGGGAGAGAGTTAAGGTGATCAGAAACACCACTGGCATTTCCTCTCTTCCTTTGCATGCTTGTCCTAAAAGCTTAAGCAGCCACGGTACTGAACATCCCTTTAGATGCCAGAACAGCCCATCAAAAAAGAACCGTATGCAGGTGCATGTCTCAGAGAGTGTAGCAGTTCTCTCATGCTTTGCAAGAACTTAGAGCAGTGACACTTCACTCCTGTTTTGGGCCAAATGCTGGAGAGCAAGACTTGAACAAAGCGAGCACAACTCATTGGGTCGTAAGGTTGAACCTCCCAAAATATCAACGAGAAGGGGCTGCCCCACAGCGGGTATTTTCTTAGCAACTGACCACAGCAGACTGCCTTATCTCTCAGGGCTGCAAGTCATCTTGTACATAAATGAGGAAGAATACAATCCCTTCCTGGTGTCCTCCACTGGGGCGAAGTTTCTAATCCATCAGCAGGACGAATACCCCTTCATTGAAGATGTGGGGACAGAGATTGAGACAGCCATATCCACCTCCATAGGAATGCATCTGGTAAGACAATATTCTGTTGGCTATAGGCATGGTGAGAAGGCTGGATTTTCTTTTCAAAGATAATCAATGAGGTACAACTGATGCAACAGCGTGGTTACTTCAAAAGAGAGCCCAACCCCATATTTTCCAATGGCTAACCTGATGGTCATTCTGGTAGTCCCAGGAAAGTGATCTCCACATCTTGTGTGTAGTGAGTAAGAACAGGATGCCACTGGGTGAAAGACTTTAAGGACCCTCCCCTGTCCTGAAAACTAAAAGCATTTTCCATCAGCACTTATGAAACCAGTGTTGGAAGCACAGCATCAGATACTAGCTATCTATTTGGCAGAAACATAACTAAAGCCGATTAGCATCTTTCCTTTGGGGCTACCTAGAGGCCTACAGAGCAAGTGAACTGCTATTTAAAGGTGAGTGGAAAATCACCAGGCTGCCACAGATCTCTTGAGCTCATCACATGTTCATCAATTTCACCACATTTTTACCAAGAACCCTCTTCACCTTCTGTGCCTTTGGCTTTCCCTGATATCACTAGTGCTAGCAAAAGCCCCTCTGGCCTGTGGACTCCATTGACAGGATGCACTCTTCAGCTTTTAATCTTGGCTAATCTCTCAAGAAAAAAAAAAAAGAACACATTCAGTATCATAACCTGCTTTACATGCCTTCTTAGTAGCATTTTTTTTTCCCACCTGTTTTTTTTTTGGGGGGGGGGAACAAGTGACAGTATTGTGGACTATCTCCTGGAAATCTGCTTATCATTTCCAAATATAATGAATGTCTGCAGCAAAACTTCTTAGTCTTCATTTAATAGGAAATAATAACCCCACAGGAAAGTTCTGTTTCTTAAAAGGTTTGTTTCATTTATTTGAAAGGTAGAGTTTGCACAGAGGGAGAAAGAGAGATTTTTTTAGTCTGCTAGTTCACGCCCCAAATGGCTTGCAATGTGCAGAGGTGGTTCAGTCCAAAGCCAGGAGCCAGGAGCCAGGAGCCAGGAGCTTCTTCCTGCTCTTCCCACCTGGGTCACAAGGACTGAAGCATGCAGGTCATCTCCTGTGGTTTTCCCAAGACATTAGCAGGGAGCTAGAGTGGAAGAGGAGCAGCCATGACTTGAACTGGCATCCATATGGGTGCTGGTGCTTCAGGCCGAAGATTAGCTTGCTTGGCCATGGCACTAGCCCCCTAAAGGAAACTTCTTAACCCTCACTAGCTTGTCCTCCAGACAGTGGCTTCCAAATCTGGTTGATCAATAGATCCGTCGCTACAAAATCAGATTCTCCAGGAGATCCCTATTTTTGCCAAACGTTCACGGCTAACTGCAAGAGGTGGCACATTAAAAACTTAAGTGAACTAGAACTTGAGAAGTAAATTGTGTGTTCTCAAGTGAAAGCAGAGCTAGAATGATCCAAAGGCTCAATCTAGCATGGCCACAGATGGCCTTAAATAAAGCTATTAAGTAATAGAATGAGCATTTTGGGTAGGCATAACCACCCTTGCTTATTTCTCCAACAGCGGGCAGACACAGGGAACCCATCAGTGTGAAAGCCATTGTCCCTGTCCTGGTGCAGCCTAGAGTCCAAATGATTACAAATAGGAAATTGCACGGATATGACTTCTAGTTTCTATCATAACTATGAAGGAAGAACGCAGGTTGCATGGGACCATGTCACCGATGTCTCCTGGTGAGGCAGTGCAGGCTGCCTGCTCAAGTTTCTCTTCCTCTTCTTGCCAAGCCAAGCCACTGAGGCCAGCTGGGGCCGCACCCTCAAGGCCTCCCCTAATCCTAATCACCTCCCAAGGGCCTCATCTCCAATGCTATTAACCTGTGGGTTTGGGGATTAAGTTCCCACCATATGAACTTTAGGAGAGTCATTGAGCCTAGAGCAGGTGTGGCCTGACCCAGGTTTTTTTTTTTTTTTCTTATTCTGTGTGTGTGTGTGTGTGTGTGTGTGTGTGTGTGTGTGTGTGTGAGCAGGAGATGCTCGCAAAATAATTTCTGAGGAAACATCAAAGACAACAGAGCTGATAAACTGGAAGGGCAGCATCCTCCAGGAAGTCTGGGCATTCTGTATTTGGGGTATGTTCATCCAGGGAGCAGCCCTGTACAGGAAAAACAGTTCAGGATGGTGGGCTGCCTGGCTACCCAGAAGCTCTTAGGAGCCACGGCATTGAGAGGTTTTGTTCCAATGCAGGAGAGAAGTCAAGTATAGCTCCTGGGGCTGTGTGAATGCTGCTTGATCACAAAACAAGAAAGAAATTTCGAGCATCCAGTCTGTTCAAAAAGTAGCTGGGCAAGACTTGAGGAGATCATTTAAAGTCTTGGCCCCTGATTCCTCTGTTCATGAGGAAATGGCAAATCTCTCAGGTGATGAGAGTGAACCTCGTGGGCTGATAGTTCCTTTGTAGCATTGATTTCCTTGCAGCAAGACCCAGGCTTGTCTGCACACCCTTTTCTTCCTCTTCTGCCTTCCCCCTGCCCTGCACCTTTTGCAGTGTCTGTAGATCCAGAGTTACTGAGCTTTGCCAGCGGGCACGAGTGAAGGAAGCATGCTCTTTGGTTTTTCTGTCGGGTTTGGAAATAGCCGCCACATTGTTAAGGAAACATTCTCTTTACCATAACTGGATAAACAAAGATATGGGTGAGTTTTCTGCTGCACCTAATTTGCGACATTGAAAATCAAAGCCTTGGCAGGGTCGGTCAACCTAAGTCTGATAAATGAGCTCTTAGACCAACAACAACAACCAAAAAACACAGGGATTAGGGAAGAGGTCATTGGGGGGTCACTAAGAATAAGTCCAAACAAATTAGACTTCTTTCTTTAAATGTGATTTTGTGATTATCTTTGATAGGCATGGCAAGACTCAGTCAACTGGTTAGGCAGTTAGTTAACAATCCTTCCTTTATTTATTGAGGGACTGTGTATCTAAAACACTGAATATTTGAAAGATGAATTCAACAAAGCTCCTGCCTTTAAGAGGGAAGGGCAAAAGGGAACACACCTTTACAACACACTTCCCGTCTCCATGGAAATAAAGACCTCATGTGTCTTGTTTCGAACCTCAGTTCGTACAACACAGTAGAGCCTCAATAAATATTGGATGGGTGGGTGGGTGGATGGGTGGATGGATGGATGGATGATGGAATCCCAGACATAAGCTATTGGGGAAGGTTTTATAAATGGTAAATTCTTTAAGTGTCAGATACATGACCGGTGGGCCTCATCTAGACAAGGAGTGCAGAAAGGATGCTAAGCCACACAAAGCTTTGTAAAAAATCACTTTGAATGAAGTATTATCAGTACACTGAAGGTGATATTCTAGAAAGAGACTATGAACATTTTCAGTGAGGCGATGGTCATGAGGATGAGGCAAGAGGAATGGATTTCAGAGCTAATGACAGCATGAAAGTGGCAGGGCCTGACAAGTGATGTTAGCAAGAGGGCCAGGGAAAGTTAGACTGACTTTTAGGCTCTGAGCAGGAGGTATACTGAGAATCAGGGAATACAAGAGGAAGAGAAGAACTGAGGGGAGAGGACACTGGTTTGGGCCAGAGTCAATATGTTGCAAAGTCAAGGTGATAAGAAAAACGCAGTGGCCGATTTCTATGACCCTGAGGCATGAGAGAATAAGCTGGGAGGTAACACTACACATAGAAATGAGTGCTATCATCCAACATTCAAGACAGAACCTGTACATGCAACGTCAAAGAGCAGAGCAGAAAGAAAGTGGAGAAACAGAGGTGGAAATGTAGAAGCAGTTGGTGGAAAAGGGTACATAGACCAAGAAGCGAATTTTTAGCACAATGTATCTCCATGGCCAAGGACAGTTGAGAGGTCACACCAGGCAAAGGGCGCAAGGCGTTCTCTGGGTTTGGCAGTCAAGCGGTCATTCAGGCTGTTTGCCAAAGCAGTTTTCAGTGGAAGGAGTGGAACAGAAACCAAGGCACAATGGTTGAACGATGGGTGGGAGATGAGGAAATGGACAAGGAGAACCACTCACCCAAGGTGTGTGGGGCCAGGTCATGGGTCACAGAGAAGGGGGAGGCTTCGTTTCATTTCCAACCCTAGTGTACCTTCTTTAAGAACACACACAGCTTTCCAGGGCTTCCCACTCCAGCTTTGTCCTTCAGTTGTGAAATCTCTGTGCCTCTGTTACATCCTCTGGAAAACGGGATGAGAATAATAGCAACTTCATGGCTGGTGACAATTCAATGAGCTGATGCACTAAAGTGCTTAGCAAAGTGATTGGCAAGTAGTAAGTGCTTGAGAAATACTAATTATTACTACACAAGGTGCTTTGTTTTGTTTTTACTACGCTTTTTTTTTTTTAAAGAGACATGAAGGAAGGGAACATAGCTTTGAAGCCAAAATAAATATTTTCTTGTCTTTCAAATCCTTCTCCTTTACAAAATAATGCATTAAACAACATACATATGTACATTACTATTAAATAACTTATTATGTTTTATGTATCAAGGATGCTAATTGTTTGCCTTATCTGTTACAAAGACTTTTCCCAACTGTGGTTTCCTTTTGGTTTCATACTCAAAGTCTTTGTTTTTTTTTTAACATATATTTATTATTGCAGAGTTATCTATTTATCTTAAAGACCTCCAGAGAGAGATATCTTTTATCACTGGTTCACTCCCCAGATGGCCATAATGGCCAGGGCTGGACCAGGCTTAAATCAGGCCAGGAGCTTCTTCTGGGTCTTCCATAGGGATGGAAGGGCACAACCACTTGAGGCATCTTCTTGTCCTTTTCTCAGAACTTTAGTAGGGAGTTGAAATGGAAGTAGAACAGCCAGGATTTCACCCAACATCCACACAAGGTGTGTGGTGTCGTAGGCAGCAACTGCCCACTGCACTACTGGCCAGCAATACTGGTTCAGAGGTCTGCCTTCTTTGCTCATGATGCTTTTTGAGTGTTTTTCTCATTTAAGATTAAATATGAAGCTTCTTTCAGTTATCTTTTTATTAAGATTTATTTATTTTTGTTGAAAAGTCAGATATACAGGGCCCGGCACGATAACATATTGGTTAAGGTCCTCGCTTTAAATGTCGGGAATCCCATATGGGCACCGGTTCTAATCCTGGCAGCTCCACTTCCCCTCCAGCTTCCAGCTTGTGGCCTGGGAGAGCAGTCGAGGACGGCCCAAAGCCTTGGGACCCTGCACCCGTATGGGAGACCCGGAAGAACTCCTGCCTCCTGGCTTCAGATCAGCACAGCACCGGCCGTTGCAGTCACTTGGGGAGTGAGTCATCGGACGGAAGATCTTTCTTTCCTCTCTGTCTCTCCTCCTCTCTGTACATCTGCCTTTCCAGTAAAATAAATAAATCTTTTTTTTTTTTTTAAAGGGAAGTCAGATGTACGGAGAGGAGGAAGGACAGAGAGGAAGATCTACCCGTTGAAAGGCTGAGTTCTATTTTGGGTGTGCACACACTATCCCAAACCAAGTGGCTTCATGCAACCACGATGTTATTAGGTCATAATCCCTGGGTTAGCTGTGTGGTCTGGCTGCCTTGGAGAAGTCCTTCTGATGAAGGCTAAGCGTGGCTGCCAACAGCCAGTGCTTGCTCAGATCTGCTGGAGATCTGGAGTGTCCTGCACCAGAGGGGTTCACACACGGCAGTCGCGGGGTGCCTAACTCAGCAAGAGAAGATGAGCTCTAACGTGCAAACACGTTTCAAACCTCTCTTGAGTCCTATTTGCTAATACTCCATGCTCTTACTTGATCGAATAGTAGGGTTTGGTCACTTTTTGAATCTTCCACAGACACAATATATTGAGCTAAAGTATGCAGAGTCCACCTCAGTAAACATAACAGGTGGATCTCAGGTCAAGATTTTGGCTGGAGGTTAAATTGCAGGGGGTGAAGGTGGGGTCGCAGAGCATTAGTCATTCCTGGTGTTTTATGGGAAATACATTAGGTTAACAGCCTCATGTACTTTAGCGTCAGAAGAGCCTTTACGGAAGACTCGTTTTGTGTTTGATACCACACTGAGCCCGTCACAGACTTTAGGCTCTATTAATGCTCACAAGAGGTTTTAGAGATGTGCAGATAAGAGGGTGAACTCTGGGTTTGCACCCCAGCTCCGGCTCTTACTGGCTGCTTCACCTCGGGCAGGTCATCTTATCGCTGTCTCTTTGTGTCTCATTTTCCTCTTCTGTAAGGTAAGCCTGTTGTCAAGGGTAAATGAGTCGATACACTGAGATGCTTATCACCCTGCCAAGCACATTTTCAGTGTTCCATCAAGATAAATTGTTGTTGTTCCTGAAAAACTGAAAAAAGTAGATCAACTACTTCGATTAAAGTTAAAGAGTCACCAGGTGGCCCGATGGGATGCGAACTGGTTTTCACGGCTTCTGTTTATTTTTGAGCCTTTTGGAAAGCCTGCCTGGTGTCACTGCTTGTGAGCTTGAGATTGGCCCTTGGTCATCACATGGTTCCACCAGGAGCAGCCCTCTAGGAGCACTCAGGATGGTTTGAGAAGGTCAAGATGAGACTGTGGCAGGGCTCCCTGGGAAGTCCGCTAGAGACCTAGAGCAACCAAGGCTGATCACGGGCTCCTGGAGGTACTTGCCCATTGCTCCATGCCCAGCCCAGTTGTCACTGCCTATTCTTCCCCTACTTCTTTCTCCCCGCCTCCCCTGAAAACAACAGCAAGCCATTTTGAGAAACAAGGAAAAAATTTGACCACCAAAGGAAAAGACAGACTCCCAACTGCCCCCCATCCCCGAATCAATTAAGAAGCACCTGTGCTTCTGCGGCTTTCAGTGGCCTAGGGTGTGATTTTGGCCTGTTGATTGCTACTAGTAGACATCTTGATGATGCCTTTGGTATCTGGGGTACGAAGGGGAGCAACGAAGATCCTTAGAGCCATGGGAGTTTGCCACATAAAGGAAGTGTTACCCAGACCATCATATACACATTGGAAACAGAAATACAGACCAGCTCAGGTTAAGCATGGGAGACTAGCTGTCCCCTGGCGGACCCAAAGGCACATCTGCCCAGGGATCCTTACAGCAGTTTAGAGGGTATGCAGCTTAGGGGTCTGGTTTGGCATCTCAGCACTCCTGCTGCTAGCCCAGGCCTGGAACATTCCAGAAGGCCTGCCTGTAGAGCACAGAGCCTGTGTCTGTCTTTCTGGGAGGGAGAATCCAGCTGTGAATGTGGGTACCCTGGGAAAGACAAGGAGCCAGACGGCAATGTCTTCTTTGCTTTGGTTCTGTCGCTTTAACAGCTTGAAATGAGCGCCCTTGATGTCCTCAAAGTCAATTGAGGGAGACCAGCGGGTCAACAGATGGATTACAGTATAAACAGAGGAAGATTGCAGCCACTTGAGATGGCTAGAGTGTCCACCAGTCTCAAATGTAGTCATTCCTTTGGTTCTGCACTTTTTATACAAAGGGAAAAGAGATTTCTCCCTCCCCCACCCCTACTACTCCCTGAGAAATCTGCTCTGTTTTTCATTTTACCCCTGCTTCTTTTCCACCAAATGCTTGTGTGTGTCCCTCCCCAGGTCCCATACATGCTCCCACATAGAACCTCTCTATAACCTGTTCACAATTTCTGTTCAAGCATGGTTTCCCCTTTGGGACCATCATTTCCTTCCCCCTCTCTACTTTTTCTTTGTTGTCTGTTTGGCTTGCCTGGAGCATCTGTTTGCAGTGGGATGTTATACATTAAAGCCAAACTCGGGGTGCTGCAATTCAACATCATTGAATGAGGGCTTTCAATTTTAAAGGAGTGATGTTTTTAATCTGCTCTGATGATCAGAGTTTGTGGGAGTGTTATTATTTTTTTTCCTCCAGGCTCTTTTCAGGCACAAAGACAAGAATTGTAAGTGTTGACATATATAAAATAAATGAAAACCAAAACACGAGAAAATGCACACACATACACACACACGCAAGCATGGGTTACCCCACACACAGAGAAACACTCATCATGAGTGGGCAGAGGGCCAAGAGGCTGGCCCGAAAGAAGACAGTGGGGGAAGGGAGGCAGAGAGCACACCAGGTAGTGTCCCCAGCCATGGTCTGGGGACAGAAGAGACACACATCCCCACTCCCGGGTGTTGGTCTCCTTTCCCATCTCGGGACCGTGTCTCTGCAGGTGTGAAGTCAGCTGTGAATGGCCTGGCACCTCACAAGTTCCACACGGAGTTTAAGACCCATCCTTGCAGAGCATCTTCCTCCTAGGTTGCAGATGAAGCGGATGCACTCTGCAAAAGGGAGCCTAGTGATTGGCAAGGAAGAGGCTAGAGGGTCGCATGGGGTGGGGCTGTGACCGCCGGCTCTGCAGACTTAGCTGGCTTCCTGCCTGTTTACACCACATCACAGCAGTCCCAGCCTCCTCCACCCTTTCTAGGAAAGTCAGCATTTTCCGAGTCAAGGTCTGGAGTCAGAGGGCAAGGACATGACCCTTTCTGGGGACAGAAACCACAAGCAGCTCACAGTCCCAGCTCATCTTCCTAGTCCCTCATTCCCCTGTTCTGCTGGACGTGTCATGGCTTTCCCAGAGAAAACCAAAGCCAGATCTCCCAGGAAGGCTCAATTCAGCCCCCTGTTCAGCCTCTTATTTTATCTCCAGCGACTTCTCCCTTTGGCTGTGTTCCAGCCACCCAGGCACCTTCTGCCACAAACCTTGGCTGTGTCCTCTGCTTCGTCCTCTCCCTCCAATTCTGGGCCATTTTCTACCATTCTGTGTTGAGCCAGCCACGTAGTAAAGGTCCCCTGCTAAGAGACACCTTCCCTAATCACACATGCTCTCATGCATCCCTCTCCAAAATTATTAGTTTGTGGCCCATCTGTCTGCTCAACTAAACTATAAACTCTAGGAGCATGGAGTGAGTAACTAAGCAGTCACTTCAGTTCCAGCCCCCTGTTCTGGATCCCGGGGTAGAGCAGGCCTGACTTGTGTGCTGCTGTCATTGCAGACTGAGTCCTTCAAGCTGAGTGAACCCTACAGCCAGTGCACAGAGGACGGCAGTGATGTGCCCATTCAGAACATCTACAACAAGACCTACTCCCTCCAGGTATGAGTTGGCAGGAGCGTGCCCAACCCCAGGTCGTGGCCTGAGCCCAGAAGATATAGTTAACATGTAGGCTTGGGTGTGCCTAGGACCAGGAAGTCCAGTAAGAATCCTTGGGGTTCATCCAAAGACCTCAAAAGCAAATGATGCCGGCTGGTTCCAGTCCTTTTCAGTCCATCTGTAACCAGAGCCCAGTTGATTCACTGAAGTCTGCGGGGAACATAATGTACAGCTGAGACCAGGCTGATTCCTAAATGGGCCTGGCAAAGGAGGGAGAGGAGCCAGGCAGCCTGGGAGAGACGTTGGCTCAGAGGTCAGGAGCTTGGCGTCCAAGCCCACGCTTCAAGGGCCCTCTTCCGCTGGTGACCTTGGGCAGGTTGTACCTGTTTAAAAGCCGCAGCGAGGAGGGGGAGGTTGGATGGGAGTGGAGGTTGTGGATTGGCAGCTGTGAGCTCCTTGCAGGTGGCAGTCCCCAAGTCTCTAGGCTGGATGGCTGGTGTTTGAAAGTCAGGCCAATTCATAAGAAAAGTCCAAATTTCCCAATTCTCTTTAAAAACAAGATGAGCTGGCATGATTGAGCCCACATCTCTGCAGGTTAAGCAGTGCCCCCTTGAAACTGGGCATGAATGCTCTGGTCCCCACTGTTCTATCCAACCTCCATCCTCAGAGTTATCGACTGCACAGGGCCCAGCAGGCATCTGAGTTTCCAACCCTTTGGGATCCATTAGCTATTTTGCCATACATCACATTCCAGGAGTCTGCAGTTTGCATCCTACCAGAATAGCCCCGGAATTGAGGGGAAAATTTTCCCAGCAGAATAAAAGGAAGGGGAATCCTCAGAGCTGGGTAGGAGGAGGCATTGGGGTGGAAACAGACTCAGCCATGGAGAGTCTGCTTATAGAGAACAGAATTATAATCAAATGGGGAAGTTTATTATTATTTTTCTAAGATTTATTTATTTGAAAGTCAGAGAGACCAAGATGGAAGAAGGATGACCAAGAGACCAACAGAATCTTCCATCTGTTGGTTCACTCCCCAGATGTCTACAATAGCCAGGTCTGGGCCAGGTTGAAGCCAGGAACTCTATCTAGGTCTCCTGCATGACTATCAGGGGCCTAAGTGCTTGGGCCATCACCCATCGTTTTCCTAGGTGCAATTAGCAGGGAGCTGGGTTCAAGGTGGAGTAGCTAAGACTCAAACCCTCACAGTGCTATGTGATGTTGGTACCCTAATACCTACCCCTTCAAATGGAGTTTAAGACCAATAGCAATAAATAAGGAACCTATAGGGAAGATATTCTTGGATAATATATAGTGATAAGTGCTCACATCTCAAATCAGTACTGCAGTTCATGCTCGCAGCAACCTCACAGAGCAGGCATTAGGATACTCATTTCGAAGAGGAAACAAAGCTTCAGAAAGGTTAAGTGACTTGCCTGAGGCTTCACAAGGAAGCAGGTGGCCAAGCTGGGATCTGAACCCTAACCACTCACCTTCAGATCTCCTGCAGTTAGCCTGTATGCTATAGGCTTCATGCATGCTATGCTAGCTCATGCTCTCCTGAAGGTCCAACGTGGAGGGCTTGGGCGCAAGGCCTGGAATGTGGAGTCTGTTTTCTTCTGTTTCATGGTAACTCTTTGGCTTAGCTCTGTGATAGAAGCCCCAGCTTGGCCTGAACTCCTGAGTCTCAGTGGTCTAATTCTCTGCAAATATTCTTGCTTGCTCCCTTTGAAAGGAGGGAACCTCCCCAGCCTGGTTGGCAGAAGGTTCAGTCGTGTCCCTGCAATTGGCCAAGGCTGGGGGTGGGTGGTGAGGGCGAGGGAACTCACAGCACCTGTGTGCAAGGAGTTAAGAGAACCCTGGGGTTTCCTCTTTCAGATCTGCCTCTACTCATGCTTCCAGATGAAGATGGTGGAGAAGTGTGGGTGTGCCCAGTACAGCCAGCCTCTGCCTCCCGCAGCCAACTACTGCAACTACCAGCAGCACCCCAACTGGAGTGAGTGTCACCCTTTCCCGGCCTGCCATGCTCCAACAGCAGACTAGGCTCAGCCTGGGCAAGGCGAGCCCTGGGGAGGGGCAGGGAGAGAGGGTCCTGTCCTTGTTGCCCTGGAACCCAGCAGGGAAGATGATACCTAGAGCTACACTTTCATTACTGAGCACGCCTGGAACACGTACTTCTCACATACACACCAGTCGGTACACCCCAGCCTGTGTGAGCACTTCAGCCAGCTCTGGACAGCAGGAACTACTGATGGTACCTTTTCATACAATAGGTAGCCACGGTTCAGAACGGTTCAGCCACCTGCCCAATTTCATGCATCCAGGAAGCAACAGAGCTAACCCCACTTCTCATATCCCTAACCATAACTCCATTGCTTCCCAACAACAGAAAGTAGCATTTGTATACAAATAAGTAGGAAGAGAAATACTTAATAATGACATTGGTGGAAGTGGGCAACCCAGAGTTCCCTCCAGGCAAAGATCAGAACCCCAACAGCTCACTCCAGCCCCTCTTTTCTCCTCAGTGTATTGTTACTATCAACTCTACCAGGCCTTTGTCCGGGAAGAGCTGGGCTGCCAGTCAGTGTGCAAGGAATCCTGCAGGTGAGTGGGCATGGAGGGAAGGCACAGGTGGGATGGGCCTGGGCCAGGCCGCCCCTACTCACGACTCTCCATCCACCCTTAGCTTTAAGGAGTGGACGCTGACCACCAGCCTGGCACAGTGGCCATCTACGGTTTCGGAGGTGAGATCTTTTGTCTATTCTTCCCACTCCACCTGCCATCCACTCTGTATCCTCTGGCCTGGGGAGGAGGGAAGGTGGTCCAGGAGGGAGCCAACCTGCTATGAGGGGGTTGGTTGGGCTCAGGCCATACTGAGCACCCCCCAGATCCACTCTCTTTTTTCCACTGCAGAAATGGCTGCTCCCTGTTCTCACGTGGGATCAAGGCCAGCAAATAAATAAAAAGCTCAACAAGTAAGTTCTCCTGCATCTCTGCCCACCAGGGGCCCTGATAAAATCCTCATGGTCAAACCTTCTCCTTTGCTTTCACTTAGTCATGGAGTCAACAAATATTTATTGGCCTTGTCTCACAAACCAAGTCCTGCTCTAACTTTTCTTGGCCCATGGCCCACAGCATTGTGTTTGCTTTACACCGTGGTCCAGTGGATATACAACTGGAAGAAAGCAGGAGACAGCATTTCCTTCTACACAGAGCACCTTCAGACGGGACATGCCAGCATGGCCATGCCAGTTATTCACAGTCATCTCCCCATAGCCGTGGGAGCCTCTTCTCAGATTGAAAAACAATCTAGATATCTCAAATTTTATACAAAATAGCATAATGCTTGCATATACACCATGCACATCTTCCTGTATAGCTTACATTTTCTCTGTTATTTATAATAATACAATGTCCATGTATTATTTTAAGTCATTGTAAGCAAGGTAAGTCACGCTACGCTGTCTTGTTCAGGGAATAATGACCCAGAGAAAGATCCATAGATGTTCAGATATTTTTTTTCTCTCAAAAATTTTTTTCCATTGTTAGTTGAGTCGGAGGATGTGGGATCCACAGATCAAAAGGGCTGGCTATAAAAACAAGGACACAGCAACAAACCCATGGAAAATGGAATTAAAAACTAAGTCTGTTTTGGTGCAAAATATTTTGAAATGTATGCATAGTTTTTCCATTCATGCAGCTTGAATTCTTTAAATACTTCCTAGATGCACAGATTTCAAAAATTTTTGTGTTTGAATACATTGACCTGTTCGTTTCATTTTTTCCATAAACTGTACAAAATCCCCTGTATATCCATTCTGGCTGTTCTCAGCACATTTGTCTGACTCACTAGCATCCATGCCAACCAGTCAACTGGTAAGCCTTTGGAATATCTCCTTGAAAAAAAGCTTATGTTTTCTGTTTACGTTTGTAAAAGATACTGGTCATGGCCCAGCACATTGATTTCATGGTTTATTGATGGGTCTTGTCCCACTTGATTAAAGCAAGCAAGCAAGTGAGCAAACAAACAAACAAAAATGACTCCTTTGAGCGTTGCAGCTTCTACTCCCTCCTGAATTCTCCATGTAAATGTTCATTTCCAAGGGATCTTTAGCCTCAGTTTAGGAGCCCAGGCCTCAGTTTAGGAACCTCCATAGGTGGAGAGGAAGGCAGGGGAGAGTGAACCCCCTCCTCAAACTCTTACCATACAAAAGCACTATTCTCTGTGCCATTAGCATCTCCATGGCGCCCTGTGCTGCACGTGCCCTGAGGTGGTGAGGAGGCTGTCCTCCAACATTTACTATGCATCCAGTAAATGCTGTGGGGGATGCGGGAGTGGATGCTGCCCCCTACAGACGCAGGCTTGGACCGATCATTTGCAAACTATTTAACCCACTTTCACTCCCTAGGTCAAATTTAACTTCCCAAAGTAACTCATGATTGGCAGCATTTTCTGACGGAGCTAAAGCTCTACCAACAGAGACGCTTTACTCTTGTGTAACTCCCAGCAGCTGAGTAACGGTTGCTTCTTGGGAATCAGCATGAACTTTCTAGTTCATGGCTGTTTAGTGCAGCTTAGGAGGACCATGAACTTGGAAGCCAGATCTCTCCAGGTTTGAAAACTGGCTTAGCCCAAATGAGGCACTGGGCAAATTATTTAACCCATCTTTGTCTCAGTTTTCATATTTGCATGATGGAGGAAAGATTAAAATATTCCTTAACAACCAAAGAGTCATTGAGAGAACTTGGTGGATTAATTCACATGAAGTTCTTAACAATAGTTCTTGACAGCACAGGAAGTGCCTAATAAATCCAAGCTGTTATTATGCTTATTATCACTATGACCTGATTCTTAGCCTACCTCCTTCATTTACATTACCTTCCTGCCTCCTGTATATGTTTGAGATTGCAATCAAACAATTACCAATGTCAAATGCTCTGCAAGTATGACTCAGAACCAAGACTTAATCTAGAGGTTGGGAAAAAGTTTTTGATGAATGAATGAATGATGAGAGAACTAGATCCAAGATGGAGAGAGGTGCTCTGGGATGAAGAAGGAGGCCCATGGTCCAGGTTCTAATGTCCTTGGGAAATTCAGAGCTCGGGCTCTGTGGAGGGAGCGTAATAATCCAGGCTCTTGACTTATCTGAGCTTGCCATTTGAAATTTCTGCAGGACAGACTTGGCCAAACTCCTCATATTCTACAAAGACCTCAACCAGAGATCCATCATGGAGAGTCCAGCCAACAGTGTAAGTGGCAGCCTTCCCAGAGTCTGTCTGGGGTCTATATCTGCATCCCTCTGGCTGGGTTTAGGGAGCAGAATCAGGCTCAGGCTGCCAAAGGGGGCAGGCATCTGGCCCAGCACTAAGGTACCATGTGGGATACCCATATCACATGTGGGAGTGCCTGCTGCTTCCAGTTGAGTATCCTGTTGATGCTTGGATGGCAGCAAGCAATAGCTGGAGTGCTTGTGTCCCTGCCACCCAGTCAGATTGAGTTCCAGGCTCCTGGCTTCAGCCTGGCCCAGCACCAGCTGTGCAGGCATTTGGGGGGAGTGAACCAGTGGATGACATCTCTCTTTCTCTCTCTATCCCTCTGATTTTCAAATAAAATGAAAATAAATAAATAAGTACTAAAAGAAGGGCTGCCAAGGACCAGCCGGCCTCAAGGCAAATTGACAGAGTTGGGGGGGGGGGTGGTCAAAGGTTAGGGAGTAGCCTTCGCACTCCTTCCTTCAGGCCTGTTGAGGGCCAGGGCCTGTGGGTCTCTCTTGGGAACTGGGGTCCCTCCTGACAGTGTGCCTTGGGCCCTCTTGCAGATCGAGGTGCTTCTGTCCAACTTCGGTGGCCAACTGGGCCTGTGGATGAGCTGCTCTGTGGTTTGCGTTATCGAGATCATTGAAGTCTTCTTTATCGACTCCCTCTCCATCATCACACGCCGCCAGTGGCAGAAAGCCAAGGAGTGGTGGGCCCAGAGGAAGGCTGCCCCCGGCCCCGAGGCACCCCCCAGCTCACAGGGCTGCGAGAATCCCGCCCTGGAAGTAGACGACGACCTACCCACCTTCTCCTCTGCACTGCACATGCCTCCAGGCCCTGGGGTCCAGGTACCCGGGACACCGCCCCCCAGATACAACACCCTGCGTTTAGAGAGCTTTCCCCATCAGCTCACAGACACCCAGGTGCCAGTGGAGCCCTGAGGCAGGACTGGGAAGAAAAGATGAAGTCAAACCGACAGCCATGACCTGCGGATATAGACCCTGCTTCCCGGCACGGAAGGGGGACCTTCTGCCTCAACTCTGGACTTTTCCAAGACACTAACCAGATTCAGGTGTACACAACCAGATCGGCTCGGCATGTGCAGGGCAACCCACCGGACCCCTCCAGCAAGACCAAAAGTGGACGGGGATGAGGCGGCGATCTTAACACTTCTGCCAAACAGGTGCTTTGGCCGGAAGTGAGCTTTCACCAGGTCCTGAGAGAGAAAGACCTGTCTGCAGCCCCAGGTCCCCGGAGTCACCATTCCTACAGTGCAAGCTAGGCCTAAAGCTGTGACCTTAGGAAACTAGATGACAGCTGTTCCATGCCAAGGACCGGAAGAGGCCCCATCTCTGTAGCTGGGGCTGTTTGTGAATAAACTGAGTTCTGTTGTGGACTCTGGGGCGAGGTGTCCTCTGTGTCCTCTGGCAGGCCCAGGGGTGTTGGCGAAGGCCTGGCTCTGGGACCCACAGATGAAGTGGTCGTCCTACACAAAAAACAGTGCTCTAGACCCTTACCTAAAAGCAAGTCAGTGCAAGGGCATGGCTGGGCATAAAGGTCTGGGCACCTATAGATTGTCCCTACGTTATTCTTCTACTGACCATCTCCACACCAGTCTTTCCCCCAGTAGCCTGTCCCTTACCAGCAAGCCAGCTACCACAAAAAGCCCCTTCCTCCTACCCTCAGCCTTAGATGGACAAACAGCTAGCATGTCTTAGGCACACAGAAGATGCTCAGTGTGCTAGGGACCTTGTGGAGCACTTAATACAGATGAGCATAGGGAATGGGAAACTAGAGCTCATTAGCCCCATCCTGGTTCCACCCATGAGTCAAGAATGCTCTGTTATTGCTTTGAATTTTTATTTATTTGTTTATTTATTTGTTTATTTATTTTAATCCTATCTGAATGAGACAGATAGAATGAGACAGAGAATGAGACAGACAAATCTTTCACCCATTGGTTCAGTCTCTGATTGCCTACGACCACTGGGCCTGGGTCAGGTTGAAGCCAGAGCTAGAAATTCAAACCGGGTCTCCCATGTGGTGGCAGGGACCCAAGTACTTGGGCCATTACCTGCTGCCTTCCCAGCATGCACATGAACAGGAAGCTGGAATGGGAAGTGGAGCCAGAACAGCTCAAGCGTGTCAAAAGGAGAATTTTCTGTGATTCATGAAAATGGTATGAAGTTCACATTTCTGTGTTTATAAATAAAGCTTTATTGGTACACTGCCATGCCCACTCATTTACATATCACTATGACAGCAGGGTTGAGCGGTTATAACACAGATGGTTGAAGATAACAAAGCCTGAGATATTTCCTCCAGAAACCAGCATGCTAAGCAGGCATAACTTTCTCCGTTTTGTGAGTGAAGAATCTGATGCTGAGAGAGGTCTGGGTCCAAGCTGAGCCACAGGAGGAAGCTGGACTGGGGTTTGAACCCAGGTGCTCTGGGCTGGAGCCTCTGTAGCCTATGCTTTGGTCATCTTGTATCTAATCCAAGCCTTTCATGGATGCGGCTGCTGTCATTTGGGGTGAGAAGAAAGAGGTGGGGCTTAGTTCCCTGGCTGTGAGGCAGAATGGAGTGGGAGAAAGGTTAGTGTTTCGGGACTCATTCCTGCAGCAATGGCAATTGCTGGTAGTTAGAGACTGAGCGATGGGCCATTAGGACCCTGCCTGGCCACCTGCTCCTACCCTTTGGCTTCCCCGCCAGCTCTCATGAGACTTGGCACTGCCAAGAGGCACCTCCCAGCCAGCAGGGAGGTCATGGTGACCCCAGGCCGGATGGAGTGCCCCTTCACAGTGGGCTCTGAAGCCAGGGCTGCTGGAAGCCAGCATCAGGTTACAGAGACTGCCAGCCTGGCTCTTGTCCCATGCTGGGCTCTGGTGGCTGTAGCTGGTGCTGACAGGAAATGCCGCTGCAGATGTGGACGGGGCACTGCCCAGAAAGCAGCTTCCTCCTCCTCCCCCCGTGGCTGTGGTGGGAGAACTGTGCTGTCAGATTCATGGACTTGACCAGCCTTGGCTGGGAAAAGTCACTTTTTGCAGAGAAGCTTGGTAGCTGCTGGGTGTGTCAACACTGAAGCTGGGAACATTTGGAACCCATAGCCCCCTACTGCTTTCTCTGCATGCAGGCGCGCACACCTTGTGGCACCAACTGTCTCCAGGCCTGCCTGGCTTCTGCAATGTCCAAACGCTTCCCTCTCTCCTTCTGCATGTCCCCTCAGACCAAGAGCAAACACCAACACCTCTGTCACGCCTTCCCCTCCACCCCGTCTCAAGAATTTGTGCTTCTACCACAATAGCATTGTCTCCCTTTGATATAATTTTTCAAAAAAAAAAAACCATACACACAACTATTTCTTTGAAAGATAGAATTTCAGAGAGAAAAGGAGAGACAGAAAGAGATACCTTGCATTCCTTAATTCACCCCTCAAATGACTACAGAGGCCAGGGCTGGGTCAGGCCAAGGCCACGAGCCCTATGTTCCACATGGGTAGGAGCCCAAGATCCTGGAGCATCTTAACTGCTTTCCCAGGCACACTAGGAAGGAAATGAATTAGAAGTGCAGCAGCAAGAACTCAAATCTGTGCCCACTTGGGCTACTGACTTTGCAAACAGCAGCTTGATTTGCTATGCCACAAATTCATTTGTCTGTCTCTCATTAGACCATGGACTGTCAAAAGAAGGAATGGTGTCACCTCTGTTCCCAGATTGATACAGGGCTGTGCAGATGGATGCTTTTATGGCAACATTTTGAAACAAATGACAATAATAACAATAATGACCTTGATGGCTAGTATTTCAAGAGCAGTTTTTAGTTGCGAGGAACTCCGCTAAGAACCTCGAGCCAATCAACTGAAGGAATTCTCCCAGCTCAGAAAACAGAGGCACAGACAGGTCACCTCATGTCCACTCTGTGAGTTAACTGGTGCATGCACAACCACACAAGGACAGAACCACATGTCTTTCAGATGAAAGATTTTCCCGGAGGTCAAGTGTATCTACCTCAGAGGAAGTCTCGGGTCCTCTCCGAGCTCTAGCCCGACCTACTCAGCCAAAGGACCTTGCCATCCCAGATCAGAGGTGACAGTGTAGGACAGCAGCAGCCCCAGGCCCCCTTGGGAGGCAGCCACGGAGGCCAGCAGTCCCTGCATGCTGAGGACGGAGCAGCCCCAGTGTGTGCTGCTCTGTCCCGGACTCTGAGCTGCCGACCTCAGCACTAATCAGGGACAAGGCAAGGTGCCCCGGCCGAGTGGAAACTGCCACACCGCCCTGCCCGAGAAATCCCCTGCCCCACTGCTCTCACTGAGCCAGTCAGTGAAGTGCACTTCCTCTCTGCTGTCCGCCCCCCCCCCCCCCCGTGCTTGAACAGAAGTCCGCAGTAAACGGTGCCTGGCCTCTTGCCAATTGCTACCTGCAATTGAACCAAAGAACCTGGGGCTCGCCACCACCTGATGCGCAGGACTCACCCTCCAATGATCATGTTGGGTGGCAAACAGACCTGTTATGCCCGATCCTGTTCTCTCTCTTTCCCTACTCACCCAAGGACAGGCACAACTATGGCCGTCTCTGGCCTTCCTTTGCCTTAGCAAGCTAAGCATTAGATAGTATAGTGTGTACAATTAGGGGTGAGTGGTGCAGATCCAGGAGGAAGGTCTAGTGGCAGGGCACAATAGGTCAAGTTTCCACATGGATGCCAGCATCCCATATCGGCACCAGTTCTAGTCCTGGCTGCTGCACTTCTGATCTAGCTCCCTGTTAACACTCTTGGGAAAACAGCAAAAAGATGGTTCAAGTGTTTGGGCCCCTACCACTGACATGGGAGACCCTGATTGAGCTCCTGGCTCCTGGCTTCGACTTGGCTCAGCTTTGGCTGCTCTGACCTTTTGGGGAGTGAATCAGCAGATGGGAGAGTCTTCTCTCCCTCTACCTATCAAATAACTAAGATAAATATTCAAAGTAAACAAACAGATCCAAATTGGGACACTCATACCTCAGATTGCAGTGCCAGGGATTCAACTGCTGTCTCCACTTCCGATTCCAGGTGCTTGCCAATGCCCATCCTGGGAGGCAGCCAGCAACAGCTCATCCCACCGATGGCTCATCCCACCGAAGGCTGGGTATTTGCCAGCCCTACAAGACACCCCGGGCTGAGTTCCCAGTTCCAGGATTTGGGGAGCAAATGATCTTTCTCTGTCTCTTAAAGAATTCGTTAAAACCGTTCTTTTAATGTACCGAATCAAAGCCCCAGTCGGTACCCACGGGTCTCCAAGTTTCTCACCCTGTTCCTCTCCTTTTTCCAGCATAGCTGGCAGCTCTCCCAATGTAACAGCCTCATTAGTCCCCCGTGTTTGTTGTCTCAGGCCCCTTCTGCTGGTCGTAAACAATGCCTCTGTCTCCTCGAGCCTCGCGTTGAACAAGTGTTTATTCATTGCGCACATGTGTGTGGAGCATTGTGTTAATCTGCCTCGGGTGCTGAACGAGGGAGCCATGGCTGCCGGACTTTCCAACAATAGAAAGTTACTGTGGGATGACTCCAGAGGCCGTGGGTCTGAAACAAGTGTACTGGGGGCTAGAATCCAGGAATGGGCAGAACTCAGTGCCCTCCAAGGCTCTCGAGGGCAGAATATATTTCCTGGTATTCCTTGGCACCTGATCTCTTCTCTCCATGTTCAAGGCCAGCAACAGAGCCCTGTGCCCCTCTCATCTCTGTGTCATCTCCAGTCCCCACCTCTGTCTTCCAAGGACACCTCTGATTGCCTCCAGGACCCACCCAGACAACCAAGGCTAGTGTCCCCTTCTGGAGACCTTCCCCTCTTCTTGTGTCTTACAACGTGATACAGGTTTCAGGGCTTTGCGTGTGAATTTTTGGGGTGCACAGAGGGGTTATCCAGCCTCCCGTGGGGGCTTATTATGTGCCAAGGCACTGCTGTAGGAGT